AACGTCGAAGTAGACGTGCATGAAGCCGTAGGTCCGTACAATCATTGCGCGCTTGATCCTTTTTGGGAAGTCGTACATAGTCACTACATTCACTGCACTAGTCAGCGTAGCCGGAAAATGTAACAACCGGAAAGATTCATTACTGTTAGGTTGTAGCGAAACTGTGAGTGTGGCTGCCGTCCTTCTAATTTGTTCAGTTCTTGTCAAAAACTTAGTTTTGATTTGTTTGGCGAGGAGAGCAGTGACAATGCTGCCGCCTGGAAAAGCGAAAGTTAGTCTGACCAAGAGATCGCCAGCGTGGGCATATTTCGAGGAAGCTGATAGCGTAGCGAGATGCAATTCGTGCAGCCGCGAGTTCGTCCGTCAAAGCGCCACAACCAACTTGTTCCAGCACCTGATTTCTGCTCATAAAGACCAGTACGCCGCTGCGGTAGGGAAAGGATCAGCAACCCAGTCGACAGCAACGGCGACTACCAGCAATGTTGAGCGCAGTGACAATGCGACGAACAGTGCTGGAATGAAGCCCGTCACGTTGTTCTTCGGCACAGATAACTTGCGAACGTGCGACAGCAGGCGCTCAGGCATGTTGACGGAGTCGATCATCGACTGGATTGTCGATTCCAGTCGACCCTTCTCCATTGTAGATGACAGACGACTGATCGTTGATGTTTAATGGCAGAGAAACACTGCACATATCACGTTGCAAATTTCATTTTGGTCTTTTTGGGGCCTGTGTGGATCTTTCACCCATACGTACCTGTATATAGTTAAACAAATTTAATTGTTTTGCTGTATACTGATGTCCAACATGACACGTATAAAACTTGTTCGGAAAATCGGTAAAACCAATAAATCGATCGTTAGTGTTATTGGTTAAAGGGGAACTGTCACCAAAAATTTTCTTTGTCTTATCTTGTAGTTCTTTGGCTCCTGATCACGATGGTGTTATTCGTTTTTCTCTGCGATGACTGGAAGTGGGTGAAAACTTGAAAAGAAGGTGCCCAAAATTGTCCCGAAGTACCGAGTGACGTCACGCCGGACTTGACCTCCACGCGTACATTCATCGTCAAAACGAAGTCCAGCCCGTGTGCTCGTCGATCGAGCCAACTGTTCGATGTACGGTGCACGCTTGCCTTCTGAACTCGGACACTCGATGTGTACTGTTGTACACAATGAGAACGCCAAAAAGGGACAAAATAAACAAAAGTCGACTGCAGTTTGTCGCACTGGTACTTCCTCCACGACGCTCCAGCTCTTTGTTTTATTTGTGATTACGAAGGAGTGGAAGGATGTTTGTTTGCTGTTAGTGTGACACACATACCTCGTACTTGAAAATTATGTCGTTGTATCGAAGGTGGCGATGTTGCCCACCCGGCTCTGAAATGAAAGACGTCGGAGTTCGTCATCTGCATCTTCAGCAACATCGCCAGATGAATCGCCTTCACGTAACTACATTGCGTTCCTTTGGGGCTCGGGTTGGTGATGTTATCGCCGGCCGGAGGAGTATTGTTTTCTGCATACGCACTCATCATCGTGTTGTTCCTCACACGAAAAGTTCAAAACAACGACGTACTTCCGTGCTCACAAAATAAAACTTAGATCTTCCCGGAAGAAGTCAAAAAGGTGAAAGCTCAGCTGCTTTTTATTTTGATTTGGCTGTGTAGCTGCACGTGGGTCTCTGCCTCTTTGGCATTCTCCTTCGGTACGACGTACCCGGCCCATCTGTGTTACAGTTCAAAAGGCACACGTGCACCGTACATTGGAACAGCTAGCTAGCTAGCTCGATCGACGAGCACACGGGCTGGACTTCGTTTTTGACGATGAATGTACGCGTGGAGGTCAAGTCCGGCGTGACGTCACTCGGTACTTCGGGACAATTTTGGGCACCTTCTTTTCAAGTTTTCACCCACTTCCAGCCATCGCAGAGAAAAACGGATAACACCATCGTGATCAGGAGCCAAAGAACTACAAGATAAGACAAAGAAAAATTTTGGTGACAGTTCCCCTTTAATCGTTAAGGCAAAATGGGCAATCGTTTCGGCCCTACTGTTTTTCAAACAATAAGGGGACGGAAAAAGGTGTTTTAACTCTGAGTTTCACGCACTAAGCGATCATCAGAAAACAGTAATCGCTTAGTGCGTGAAACTCAGAGTTAAATCACTTTTTCATCCTCTTATTGTTTGAACTAGCTCTGCCTTTCGGTATTGAGCACACTCTTGGACAGCCTGGAACCTCTCTGTTTTTCGTACAATCATGTATTTCTATAGACTGCCACTATGTGCTGCATCGATGTTCATGGTATCGGGCATGGTGGTGGCCTGGCACGAGCGAACTTTCCTTAGCCAGATGTGATTCTCAACAGAGTTTTGTGGTCGGTGCCTCGGTGGTAGCGCAGAAATGCAAACTTTACCCTTTCTGTATGTTCTCATGTACGGCTGATGCTGCGGTAAGTGTCTGCTCCGAGCGTCGGAGCTCGCGCTTCCTGCCGACTGACTTGACACTTGACTGACTCACGACTGCCATCCAGAGCACACGAGAAGTCCATCGAACCTTCCACTCGGCAAACCAGCAAGAAAGCACCACTCCCTGCTCAATACACAGTGTTTCGGGGAATTCACCCCTCATCAGTTGAGCTTGAGTAGGCTAATGGAATTTCTGCTCCAAGTCAAGTGTCAAGTCAGTCGGCAGGAAGCGCAAGCTCCGACGTTCGGAGCAGACACTTTCTTCACAAATCTATGTGTGTCCCAGAATTTTGTCTGATACACACATGTTTGAATGTGTTTCTTACCTCTCCACTATGCGTAGGAGATTGCACCAGGTGTTCAGCTCCTACCAGTAAGTGACAGAAAATGTTCACTAAGTCCATGATGCTGCTGAACCACTTCCCAACGATTTGACGGTGTCGTTTCCGAGTGTTTTAGAGTGCAAAAGCGACAAGCACGAAATTTGAGAATTGAGATGCTGAGCTGAATGAAATCAACAGCTCTAGTGGCAGCTCAAGGCTCCAGGCAAAAGTTTTCACATTAAATCTAGAAAAATAACTACATGTATGCACCTCAAAGCACGTACCCAAAACTTTAACATGGATTTAAAATTTTAAATACAATCTGCACGCAAAGGAATCTTTTTTCGGCCATTTATCCGAAAATTAATGAAAGAAATTGACTTGTCGCGTTTTGCATCTAAGCCATTCAAGTGTAATGTGTTGCTAAAGCACAATTTCTCTGACATATGGTTGATGGGCGACGGCTGGGCGAACCAAGGTGAGACCGAGGTTCCGATATCGTCTGCCGCCATTGCACACTGCCTGACCTCACGGCCCAGAACATATCCGGTTGTCCAGGTCAGGCCCGGAGAACCCAGAATCTAGTTGCAGGGGCTTCGGAAGGCATTTTAGGGTACTTCGTAGTACGGTCGGACATCTGAAGTATCATTTACTCGAGGGGTGGCTGAGATGAACATGTTGGCAATTAGTAGGGCCCCGATCAGTGTACTATATTGGTTCTACGGATACCTGAGGCAAAAGGTGGTACGGTCATTACCGTAGTGTGTTCAACCCACCCCCCCCCCCCCCTGCGTTGCCTTTAGGTCTGAGTTCTGCATTGCTGTTGGTGTGTTTCCCCGACAGAATGTGAAGGGCCTGCAACTGGAGATCATCCTCGTTGTCAAGATTCCGACGGGCAGGGTGAGAGCCGAAATTGTTGTATCTGTAGGCAAATGCCATTTTTGATTAGTAGTGCCAGGTGGGCCAACAGATGAAAGTGTGTGTCGACGTTAAAAAAAATTACGGATCGCGCGAGACTCGGCTGGAGGCCAAGTTTTTCGCATCTATAGGAACACCACCACCCTTCTATGGATCACACCTCGATGCTATGCTGACGCTATGCTGGAGATTATTTTGTATTTGGGTACCGGTGAATTGATATGTGTTATACCTGGTGAGCTGATCTACTCACCTCCCACCGCTTTGGGAGCTGCATCTGCGCCTTGATCCTGGAAGGGTGGTGGCGTTCCTACGGATACGGAAAACTCTGCCTCTAGCCGCCGAGTCTGACGTGAACCGTGAAATTGTTTATTTTTTATTTTGTTAAACCAACTAAAATGCCAAACATTAAGTACAAGCACATCAGACTGAGAAGCATGCAGACATGACCTGTGGCGGCAGTAGTGGTGCATGGTGGTCAGGTCATGTACTGGATCAATACGCATGAGATAACCGCATGGAAGCAAGGCAGTGGGAGTACCGGAGTACGTTGGAGAGAAAATATTAAAAATTTGTTGTTGCGGAACAAATGTTTTTTCTTCTTCAGACATTGGCTTTTGAGTGTAATCAGTGATTGAAGAAATCCGTAGTCGGTTCTGTGTCGCAAATACGTGAATGTGTTGTTGGTTTTATATGGCGTCTTTTGTGAGCCTCCGTAGCCTAATGGATATGGCATCGGCCTCCTAAGCCGGGGGTTGCGGGTTCGAATCCTGTCGGAGGTGTATTTTTTGTATTTTTTCTCAATCAGTTTGTTGTTTATATAGGGGCCATCCACAAATACCGATATATTTTTCAAGACGATATTTGTTCCTTTCTCCCCCCGCCCCCCCCCCCCCCTCAAAACGAACATACACAGGCTTATGCTGGGGATCGATGTTTTTTAATGTAGTGCAATCTCCTCATGACACGTGAACAACAACAACTCCAAATTCACCGCACCATCGCCACAGTCGCATAACCTTGCCGTGGCAACATTCACGAGGCTGACTTTCACGTTTTGTAGGTCATCAACTTCAAGTTTATACAGTGCCCGTTCACATCTAGAGATCGATATTTGTTTAACAAAGACGAGACGAACAGAGACCAAACCCCCTCCGCCAGTCCTGCTGCCATGTCTATCCTCGTCACTCTGTGCTTTCATGGTTTATAAAACCCACCGTATTGTTGCATGTGCAATGAACTGCCGGTCTTCTCCTCTACTAGACATCTGTCGGGGTGGCGGTGCGTGCCTCCGAGGACTTGAAAACGATGACGTCAATTCTCGTCGGCGAGGAGGTAAGGCCGTCCCTGTCAAGATTGTATTTTGTATTTTATTGTATTTTTACGGCTTCTGCTGTGGCATCGCTATCGTTGCCTCCGCCTCTGGCGATGGGCATCAAAGGTCACAGGTCAAAGTTCAAGGTAACAGAGCCTGCTGCACGCATTCTCAAGTATCATACGCAGTCTAGTTTTCTCAAGTATCATACACAGTCTAGTTTTCTCTCAGTCTCTTCCATGATAAAGAGTACAAGTATACGCTTCACGTTGTTTAATTTTGTAAATGAGAAAAAAACCGAGTGTTGAATCGCTTTTGTTTCACCGTGAGTTGGCCCTCCGTCGTGTTGAAATCTCACATTGCAACATGAGGAGTGCCATTTTGACCGTGATATCTCACATTTGAAATTGAAAAAAACGTGAAGTGTGAACTTTCTAATGTTCACCATGGTGTTTGCCAGCTCTCTGTCTCTCTCTCCCGTGTCGTTCCGCCCAAGTACGGTCAATATCATCCTGATCTCCATTGTCCCAGTACTGTGCGGGGGATATGGTTTGCAATAAGCCTTACAAAGTGAAGCCCGCTCCTTGCTCGTTGTGATAGCTTCTCTTGCCTGTGAACACGACCCCTGGGCGTCTGACCTGCGGGTTGTGCCTCCGGGAAAATCAGCCAGCTCGAAAAGAATGCTCGGTACCATGCTGCATACAGTACTGTCCGTCGCCGAAGAACTGGGGGGGGTCAGCCTCCTAGCCTAGATCATTTTATTTCCATGTATAACAGTCTGTGCACAGACTCCTCAGTTGACTTGCCGTGTATACATTGGTATGCTGTGCTTGATGAAATTCTAGCCTGGTCGTTCTCCGATACTCCGTTCTTTGGCGCCCGGCAGTACTGTTCTTGAGCATGGGTGTTAGCAGCCCACTTAGTACTTTCTCAACTCTTCTCTGTGAACTTTTCTCTCCCTTTGCACTGGCTCGCAGAACCTCCACGGTCCCCTTAACAACACCGACCTGCCGGGAGACGACTTTAAGAACTTCAACTATCCGATGGGCAGTGCAGACGAGACGAACATGGAGAACTGCTCAGCTGCTTGCGGTGAGCGAGTAGTGTAAAATCAGAAATTTTCGGCGGGTAACATTCTCAGTACCGTATTTTTAAAGTCTTTTAAACACCAATACATCATCCAAAAAAGATCAGTGCGTGTTTATACTACGCTGGTAAAATTAACAGTGATAAACAGCAGGGAAGATGGAAGATGTCTGTACAGGCAGACCTCGCTTAACCGCACACATCCGTTTTCCATAGAAAATATCCGCATGGGCGAGGGAACCGGATAATCGAACACACATTCTGTACGCATGAATGCCATATGACCGATCTTTCCACTCCATCCTATCATTATCCCATTCTGGCTAGATGCTCTATGGTATTTCTGTGCCAGTAATAATGTTGTTGGTCTCCTATTCTCTGCTGCACACATGCTGTGTAGATGCTCTGAAGGAGTGTGTTGCCTGGACATACGTGAGGGCCGGCGATCCTCACAACCCTCGCTGTGCGCTGAAGAACGTCCTGCCAAACGTTGTGCCTCGATCGTGTTGCATATCCGGGACGAAGAACAACTCTGCTGTCAGCTCGTAAGTTGGGCAAGCAGAATTGCAAGTAAAGGTACCGGGATTCACTGTAGTACAGTCAACTTCGCTTGTAACGACACTCGGCGGCGGGGCATCAGAAAATTGTCCTTATTCGCGAAGTGTCGTAATACCCGAAGTCTCATTATATATGTCACAGTTGGATGGGACTTTGCTGTGGGCATGAAAATTATGTCGTTATTCGCGAATTGTCGTTATATCCGCAGTCGTTATTAGCCAAGTTGACTGTACAGTCGTCGCCAGAAAAATCCGGCCAATGCCATGGATACAGTGCAGTATGGTACGCATTCACCGGCGGTACTTCATCGCCGGTTCATGCTACATGGTGGCATAGTGACAGGCATGTATTTACAGTAGCAGCACAGCACTCGGAACAGTCTGTGCTGCACTCTGCCTGCATGCTGCAGTCGGGTCGACGGTCGAGCACTTCACTGAGTGTACGTAGGCCTGGCAGCAGCAGCAGGGCATGTGCCGTGTGCACTAGGCTGGTAGAATCTACTACGGTAGTGCATGCGGCCCGTGCACCGTACAGCTACCGGCAGCTAGCATAGCATTGGCCAGAATTGTTTTGCTGATGACTGTATCACCCTAGTGTTGGGGCATGCTCAAGCACAGCCCGTCTCAGTGCCACGTGGGCAGGCCACGACTAACCCCTTATGTCAATTCAGAAATTACTAATCTCTGGCCGTTTTCGAATGCAATTTACGATGAGTACGGTTCATATCCCCGGTTCTAGTCCGGCCTGGAATGCATGCTGCACTAACTGGTGTGTGTACATGTGTGTGTGTGTGTGTGTGTGTGTGTGTGTGTGTGTGTGTGTGTGTGTGTGTGTGTGTGTGTGTGTGTGTGTGTGTGTGTGTGTGTGTGTGTGTGTGTGTGTGTGTGTGTGTGTGTGTGTGTGTGTGTGTGTGTGTGTGTGTGTGTGTGTGTGTGTGTGTGTGTGTGTGTGTGTGTGTGTGTGTGTGTGTGTGTGTGTGTGTGTGTGTGTGTGTGTGTGTGTGTGTGTGTGTGTGTGTGTGTGTGTGTGTGTGTGTGTGTGTGTGTGTGTGTGTGTGTGTGTGTGTGTGTGTGTGTGTGTGTGTGTGTGTGTGTGTGTGTGTGTGTGTGTGTGTGTGTGTGTGTGTGTGTGTGTGTGTGTGTGTGTGTGTGTGTGTGTGTGTGTGTGTGTGTGTGTGTGTGTGTGTGTGTGTGTGTGTGTGTGTGTGTGTGTGTGTGTGTGTGTGTGTGTGTGTGTGTGTGTGTGTGTGTGTGTGTGTGTGTGTGTGTGTGTGTGTGTGTGTGTGTGTGTGTGTGTGTGTGTGTGTGTGTGTGTGTGTGTGTGTGTGTGTGTGTGTGTGTGTGTGTGTGTGTGTGTGTGTGTGTGTGTGTGTGTGTGTGTGTGTGTGTGTGTGTGTGTGTGTGTGTGTGTGTGTGTGTGTGTGTGTGTGTGTGTGTGTGTGTGTGTGTGTGTGTGTGTGTGTGTGTGTGTGTGTGTGTGTGTGTGTGTGTGTGTGTGTGTGTGTGTGTGTGTGTGTGTGTGTGTGTGTGTGTGTGTGTGTGTGTGTGTGTGTGTGTGTGTGTGTGTGTGTGTGTGTGTGTGTGTGCGTGTATGAATCTTGCCACTTCAACTTTCTAGTCTCATGGTGAATCGTACGATGACTGGTGGCACGGGCAATCTTGGCCTGCGGGTAAGTATCCGTAAAGTCCTGCTGATTCTGTTCTCGGTACTGTAACCGGGAATTTTCGGTGGCGTAATATTTTCGGTGCCGTCATATTTTCGGTGGCGTAACATTTTCGGTATTTCCCCAAATCAACAGTTCGGGAGCGCGAAATTTCGGTAAACCAGCTTTCCGCACTGCAGTCGGCATGCAGGTACGTATATTTCGGTGCGTTTTATTTCAGGCAAAAATTACCTGTACTGAAGTTACCAAAAATGAAACTCCACCGAAATTTACGGTTTTACAGTATATTGATGAAAGTTCCGCAACAAACAGTCGTGCAACACCAGAAAATTGTTTCATTTTTGGACAAAGCGCGGAACCTCTAGGGATATCAGACCACAGTCATACGCAGTGTACTGTATTTTCCGGAGTATAAGCTGCACTTTAACCACAACTAATTCACCAAAGCTTGTACTTTTACTACGATGGTTAAATTCACGGCGCTAAACCCTGAGTGTAGATGTCTGTATTTCATGACAAAAATAATGAAGCTGGTCAGCGGCTTATACTCCAATGCGGCCCATACCTCCATAAGATGCAGGAGTTACAGCAGCAGCAGCAGAGACTTGCATTTTCCAACTAAGTACACATTCCTATTGTCGGCTGATTGATTCTTGGAAGAGGAAGGCGAAGAAATGGGAAGAAGAATATAAGAACAGATATCGCTGCCATCTCGCGTGTGCTGCTGCTGCTGCTGTAACTGTCACTGTTGTTGCTGCTGCTGTTTGAATCTTTTATTCTCACGATGGCCTGTGGCCAATAAGAGAAAAAGAATTACAGGCACGGGGATCGGATAAAGAGAAATCAAAGTTTAGCTGCTTGCTGAAATAGTAGCAATGGTAATAATGAGTTAATCACATAGGCTGGGCGCAATGGGGCTATAGATGTGCTGAGCAATGTGAGCAAGTACATATGGAAGAGATGACAAGAGGTAGGATGTTTGCTTTGAAATCTCGTCTGGGGTTGATTTACCGGAGGCTGAGTGGGATGCTATTAAAGAGATCAAGAGAAGCATAGATGGGGGGGGGGGGTGTTGCTGTTGTTGCGTTGTTGCTGTCGTTATTGCAGCTATTGCTGTTGCTATTGCTGCTGCTGCTGCTGCTGCTGCTGCTGCTGCTGCTGCTGCTGCTGTTGTTGGTCTGCAGAGTGGCCCACTACCAATGAAGCCTTCAGACAAAGAACTGACACTGCGAGTGTTTGTCGACCACTCGATGGTGGAAGCCATTGCACAGGTAAGCCAGCCGTTTTCCCATGTGCAGTTCAGAGAATTTATGGGTTGGGGTCAATGTCAGCATGCTGATTGGGGTCACTTTAATCTAGAGTCGCTTCGGATTGAAGCGGCTGGGTGCAGAGATGCCAGTTGTGTTATGCCACACGACCTGCCCTATCCATTCCATATGCAGCAATTGATAATGAGCGGTGGAGACATGTGTGTGTGTGTGTGTGTGTGTGTGTGTGTGTGTGTGTGTGTGTGTGCGTGTGTGCGTGTGCGTGCGTGCATCTTTGTGTTGACGTACTGTGCTTTCAGAGCGGCCGTTCCTGTGTAACGGCTCATGTCTACCCAGATGCGAGCAACGACATGGTTGGCTTGGTGAACTTTGGAGATGGTCCTGTTGAGGTTGTGTCTCTGGATGTGTATGAGATGGATTCGTGCTGGGTACAGTGACCAGTTTTAGGAGTTGCTTGATAGCAACAACAGTATCGTGATACGTCTCTATGCGTTGTTGGATGCGAGGATCAGCGTACCACCAAGCTGGCTTGCTCCAAACAATGCATGGTGTGTTCACTTGCTGCTGTAACTGATGCCCAGGTTTTGCTATTTTCCTTTTCACGCACAAATTCTTTCTCCATGCAGGCAATTCTTTTGTTTGCGGATGAGCGTGCCCTTTGCGTGCATTGCCTATGCACTCGTTGAGGTGAAATGAAACTACATGTAGCTTCAACGAAAGCTCCGCTGAGAGCTGCTGTCAATCGTGCTGCGTCTATGCCCGGGTTTCTCCCGTTCGTAGTTACGCCCTACAGCATGTACCAGCAGAACGTTTAGTCAGAGAATAATTCCATCCAACTCTAAGAAAAAGGGGAGTTCATCCAGTCGATGATTTCGTCCTTGGATCAAACACGTATTGAAAAGCTGGACAGAAACTGAAGTTAGTCGGGCATTAAACTTAGTCTCGAAAGCTCGTTGGGTGGAAGGGAAGAAAGTAAATTCCCCAGCAATATTTCTGGCTTCAGTCATGATAGGATGTGCATTTCAGGACCGCTGGAAGCAGTTATTGATTTGCCCGGTGGTATCACGGCCTTTCATGCTGTGTGTATGATACAACAGGTACACATGCCCTCCACAGTAGGAAACGCTTGTTGCTGGCCAACACGTTGTTTCCGGTAATAACCGGACCAACTGGACCGGTTCCGGCGGGCCTGCATGTAACTGTCAAGTACGGTACTGGCCAGGTGAAATCCAGACAGGTGAAATCCAGACAGGTGAAATCCAGACAGGTGAAATCCAGACAGGTGAAATCCAGCCAGGTGAAATCCAGACGGGTGAAATCCAGACAGGTGAAATCCAGACAGGTGAAATCCAGACAGGTGAAATCCAGACAGGTGAAATCCAGACAGGTGAAATCCAGACAGGTGAAATCCAGACAGGTGAAATCCAGACAGGTGAAATCCAGACAGGTGAAATCCAGACAGGTGAAATCCAGACAGGAGAAATCCAGACAGGTGAAATCCAGACAGGTGAAATCCAGCCAGGCGAATAAAAATAGCAGTGGGCGCTACTCAGCCTTAGCACTACAAACACTGATCTGTGCACTCGAATGCGGCGCTACTGCTCTCGTGGGCATTGAAATCCAATGGGATGACCGGGGACGGCACTCTTACTGCTTGTAGCACGTACAGCCACTGTAGTTTATGTACACAGTGCAGAAATGGACCAGCAGTCAGCGGCCCATGGCTGCAAGGCCAACGCGCTGTGGCCGCTTGACTTCTCAGCGGATTTCGATGTCCGCTACATTAAAATGATGGGTTGGATTTCTCTGGCCAGAACTGCAGATCGGGAGGGTCGCGCTCACAGCTGTCGAAGAGAGCATGAGTGCGTGTTTGCACTAAAACTGTGAACTAAAATTGACAGGTGCATGCATTTGCAAAGTATTGAACATGAACCACGAACTGTGTGACCATGGATATCGTTATGAGTGCCTATGGCGGCCGAACATACCCAGCCCACATACCCGGCCCACATACCCGGCCCACATACCCGGCCCACATACCCGGCCCCCATACCCGGCCCACATACCCGGCTCACATACCCAGCCCACTACACACATACCCGACCCACATACCCGGCCCACATACCCGGCCCACATACCCAGCCCACATACCCAGCCCACATACCCAGCCCACATACCCGGCCCACATACCCAGCCCACATACCCGGCCCACATGCCCAGCCCACAAACCCGACCCACATACCCAGCCCACATACCCGACCCACATACCCGGCCCACATACCCGACCCACATACCCGGCCCACATACCCGGCCCACATACCCAGCCCACATACCCAGCCCACATACCCGGCCCACATACCCGGCCCACATACCCGACCCACATACCCTGCCCACATACCCGGCCCACATACCCGACCCACATACCCGGCTCATGAACCTAGCCCACTACACACATACCCAGCCCACATACCCGGCCCACATACCCAGCCCACATACCCGACCCACATACCCGACCCACATACCCGGCCCACATACCCGGCCCACATACCCAGCCCACATACCCAGCCCACATACCCGGCCCACGTACCCAGCTCACATACCCAGCCCACATACCCGGCCCACATACCCAGCCCACATACCAGACCCACATACCCGGCCCGCATACCCAGCCCACATACCTGGCCCACATACCCAGCCCACATACCCGACCCACATACCCGGCCCACATACCCGGCCCACATACCCGGCCCACATACCCAGCCCACATACCCGGCCCACATACCCCGCCCACATACCCCGCCCACATACCCGGCCCACATACCCAGCCCACATACCCGGCCCACATACCCGGCCCACATACCCGGCCCACATACCCAGCCCACACCCGGCCCACATACCCAGCCCACATACCCGGCCCACATACCCAGCCCACACCCGGCCCACATACCCAGCCCACATACCCGGCCCACATACCCGGCCCACATACTCGGCCCACATACCCAGCCCACATACCCAGCCCACATACCCAGCCCACATACCCGGCCCACATACCTGGCCCACATACCCGGCCCACATACCTGGCCCACATACCCGGCTTACATACCCAGCCCACATACCCAGCCCACATACCCAGCCTACATACCCGGCCCACATACCTGGCCCACATACCCGGGCTCACATACCCGGCCCACATACCCAGCCCACATACCCGGCCCACATACCCGGCCCACATACCCAGCCCACATACCTAGCCTACATACCCAGCCCACATACCCGGCCCACATACCCAGCCCACACGCGGCCCACATTCCCAGCCCACATACCCGGCCCACATACCTGGCCCACATACCCGGCCCACATACCTGGCCCACATACCCGGCTCACATACCCAGCCCACATACCCAGCCCACATACCCGGTCCACATACCCGGCCCACATACCCGGCCCACATACCTGGCCCACATACCCGGCTCACATACCCGGCCCACATACCCAGCCCACATATCCGGCCCACATACCCAGCCCACATACCCAGCCCACACCCGGCCCACATACCCGGCCCACATACCCGGCCCACATACCCGGCCCACATACCCAGCCCACACCCGGCCCACATACCCAGCCCACATACCCGGCCCACATACCCAGCCCACACCCGGCCCACATACCCAGCCCACACCCGCCCCACACCCGGCCCACATACCCAGCCCACATACCCGGCTCACATACCTGGCCCACATACCCGGCCCACATACCCAGCCCCCATACCCGGCTCACATACCCGGCTCACATACCCGGCCCACATACCCAGCCCACCACCACCCAATGCACAGGGATTTGGAGAAACACCTGTGATCAGCATCATGCCACTCCTCGAGTGGGTACATTCCTGTCCTGTCCTCTCCTGGCATGATCACTATACTGCATTTGCTTCTGTTTTTTACGTTCTCGCAATGCCTACTTTCAGAACATTCATTTTTTCGTTCATTTTTGACACACACACACACACACACACCACTCGACATACTTCAGCATGTACTGGATGTGGGTAGCCACCCAGCAGAATGAAAGAAGAGCAAGGAGAATGAGAAAGAGAAGGAAGACATGTGCGACCATGAGTCCATGATCGGCCCGAACCCACAACTTCTCGATTGGAAATCGACTGCACATACCACCAGTCACCGCACCATATGGGATACACACGTGCACGTGCATACACACACACACACACACACACACACACACACACACACACACACACACACACACACACACACACACCCACCCACCCACCCACCCACGCACGCGCACGCACACACGCACACACGCACACACACACACACACACACACACACACACATGCACACACGCACGTGCATGCACACACACGTACACACGCACAGCCACCCGGTGCGTCCCACTACCGGTATTTAACCCTGGTTCGGACTCACAAAAGGTTTCTCGGCGCATTTGTTCGAAGCAGGGGATCGCCAAAAAGTACTAGACATGGTTAGCATTTTTCCGTATTACGCTTAAAAGTCCAACGGTACTCGTACCCGGCAGCACCCAAAATATCGTCGGTTTGGTATCGTTTCGACGATATAAAAGCCTCTTTATACCGGGAGAGCGAAACGGTACGATTCCAACTAGGGCGACGTCACAAGCGGATCGTTGTATCAGAAACCGAAATGCTAACCAAGTCTTGAAAACACACAAAAACGGTACAGGCCAACAATCGAAGTTAGCGTGAACGGTAAAATGCTAACCATATCTGTCTTCTGATCCCGATCATGATCCTTGCCCTTGGTTCGGCAGTGACCAGCGATACGATCTTTACTGTGCGACTGTGGCTATGGGGTGCATGGATTTCTGTTTCGCACGAAAGTCGATTTCAAACCATGGAGAAAGAGCTTGTTTTTTAATAACAGCAAGAGTACTCTTGATAACAGTAACAGTTTACTTTGGCCAAGGGTATACTACAACTTAATAGTACCGCTTTGGCCGTATGCAATTAGGCTGTGTTTACATGAGGCGTTTCAACCCGGGTTGAGTTCGACCCGGGTCAGATTTCAACCCGCCATGTGCACAAAGTGAATGGCGAGTTGACATGACGTGGTTGATTTCAACCAGGGAGTCGTAAAAGCCCGGGAGAGGACACGGGATGCGCGCACGCGGACGATGTTTGCCTCGGCCAGAAAGTGAAGCACGCTAGGCCGGCGCGGCCGGATCTGCTCGATCCACGGCGCTGTGCTCGTCTTCTGGGCAAGGAGTCCTAAAATACCAATATTTTTCAACTCGGTGTTGACACCATTATCCGAAACTGGTGGCGAAGGAAGCATAAACATGATTGTGTGTCTGTCTGTCAGACTCAGTATACATGGTACAGGGGGTGGGGAGTTGAGTGCGTGTGTATGTGCACATGTGCTTGTACTTTTGTGTGTGTTTGTACAGTGTTTGTGTGTGTGTGTGTGCGCGCGTGCGTGCGCATTTTTGTGCACAATTCCGTTATGAAGTACAAATGATAGGTTTACCTTTTGTACACTCGCCAAGACTTCGGTTAGATTCACTGAGAACCTTTCTGGCCAACCTGGAGGCTGAGCCTTCCGTTTCCTAAACGGCTTAAGTCACCGCGTACTCAGTATACGAGTAGAAAAGTGTAGAAAATTTTAACAATATTTATAAATAACGACCTGCAACCATGTACAATGTAGATAGATAGGGAACACACATTGTTTTTAAAAGAATCCAGGCAATATCATGAATCATGGAACGAGTGCGTAATAATGCTCTATATTGCGTTTTGACGATGCTGAAGGAAGGGAGCCTTTGCGATTCACTCACAACACACGCACAGAAGTCCACTCGACTGCAATTTCAGTGCAATTTCTGACACAAATTCATAAATCCACGAGTACGAGGAAGCTCAGCGGATCTCAACACGAACGTTCGCCCATCACCTGCAATGGAATATGGGCTGTATGATACGACCAGCGGCTAACACGGGAAGTGGCGTCATTTTCCACAAATCTCGTTTCATTCACAACCATTTGACTGCAATTCAGTGCAATTTCTGCCACAAATTTAACTCAACGAGTACGAGGAAGCTCAGCGGATCTCAACACGAACGTTCGCCCATCACCTGCAATGGAATATGGGCTGTATGATACGACCAGCGGCTAACACGGGAAGTGGCGTCATTTTCCACATATCTCGTTTCATTCACAACCATTTGACTGCAATTCAGTGCAATTTCTGCCACAAATTCAACTCCACGAGTACGAGGAAGCTCAGCGGATCTCAACACGAACGTTCGCCCATCACCTGCAATGGAATATGGGCTGTATGATACGACCAGCGGCTAGCACGGGAAGTGGCGTCATTTTCCACAAATCTCGTTTCATTCACAACCATTTGACTGCAATTCAGTGAAATTTCTGCCACAAATTCAACTCCACGAGTACGAGGAAGCTCAGCGGATCTCAACACGAACGTTCGCCCATCACCTGCAATGGAATATGGGCTGTATGATACGACCAGCGGCTAGCACGGGAAGTGGCGTCATTTTCCACAAATCTCGTTTCATTCACAACCATTTGACTGCAATTCAGTGCAATTTCTGCCACAAATTCAACTCCACGAGTACGAGGAAGCTCAGCGGATCTCAACACGAACGTTCGCCCATCACCTGCAATGGAATATGGGCTGTATGATACGACCAGCGGCTAGCACGGGAAGTGGCGTCATTTTCCACAAATCTCGTTTCATTCACAACCATTTGACTGCAATTCAGTGCAATTTCTGCCACAAATTCAACTCCACGAGTACGAGGAAGCTCAGCGGATCTCAACACGAACGTTCGCCCATCACCTGCAATGGAATATGGGCTGTATGATACGACCAGCGGCTAACACGGGAAGTGGCGTCATTTTCCACAAAATCTCATTTCGTTCACCCCCAAAAAAGTGAAGTACAATTAGGGATTTATCTTGCATTTCCATCGCCTCAGAATAAATTAACTTCGATAAACTGAGAGAGAATGAGTGAGGCAGCTGGAAGAATTGAGGATGAAAATAGAGATCAGAAGACTCGACGGAGCAATCGTCTCCGTGCTCTGAGAGAAATCGGAGAATGTCCCAATTAGTATTTCAAGAAGACATCACAATTTTGAAAATAATACTTTCCTTGCCTCGCAACACCGTTCCCTGGCAGCGTTCCCCGGCAGCGCGAGGCAAAGATGTTTTCTGGGAATGTGTGCCGTGTCCTCTCCCGGGCTTTTACGACTCCCTGATTTCAACCCTCCCCCCATGGGGAGGGTTGAAACCAACCCGGGTCAAGAAAATCGTACAAACGTACTTCTGTGCGTATCTCGCGCCAGGTTTGAACAGCACTGCAGATGCAAATTTCGCGCGAACGGTTTCACGTGACCATGCAGGACTGTAGAAGTGGACTTTTGGCGGCATATCAGTATTTGACCCGGGTCAACTGTCTTCATGTAAACGCTCACCTCTTTTGTCTATCGTACAGACTTTCAACCCGGGCTGAACTCGACCCGGGTTGAAATTTCTCATGTAAACACAGCCTATCAATCATGAATGAGCTGCGAAATTTCATCGAAAATACCCCCCCCCCCCGGGGTTTGTACGACTACAGCCAGGGAGTGGGACGGGACATGACATGACAGTGGTTTGTCTCTCTTTTGTCTCGTAGCAGGGTGTATCGTACATCTACATGTGTACGTGTAATAGACCGTTTCTACCGTCACACTCCGATCTCTCTGTACTACAGGGATCCGTTCCGCACAAACTGGTTGTCGGGAACTGGATGGTGCACAGGATGAAGAGCTCAAACAGCCAAAGAGGGCAAGCAAAGAAAGCAATGGTGAAAAATACAGTCAAGTAAATTGGAAAAGTCAAATCAAACAAATAGGAAAATCCAATTACAAAAGAAAAGAATCAAGCCAGGAATACCAAAAAAACAAAGAGCAAACCCGCATCCGCAAGCACTCCTATAGCTCCTGTTTTGGCGGCTCTGGTTTGCAATTTGGTGAACGGTTCAGCACGCGCGATAAGCATTTCAGAACTTTGAACTTTGAACCTTTGAACCAGGAGTACTCACTGCACTGCATGCATTGACCAGACGCTATATTCTTCTTCTCTTCAAAAGTCGTAGACTTTAGCACTACAGTTTGTGGACCTTGACCCTTGCAGTAATTGTTCTGTTTGTCGGGTCGCGGTGGTTGCTCGATGTACGTTTGCCTCCAAGAACGAGAACATATCGACGGGAGTGGGGAAGTTCTCACTTGGTGTCAAGCTGCGAATGCGGGATATGTTCATAAAATAATAGCGAGAGTCAAAGGAGTTTGAAGCTAGATCCCCGTTGTTTGGCAGAACAAAGGAGGCTGTTATCCTGTCCGCTTCAGGGCGCGTTCGACGAATGAGAGGTAAGAAAAATTATCAGCCGTTTCGAGCCTCAGGGGCGACACGGACTTCTACCTCAAGTTAAAAAAATATTGTGGTCAATAGTCCTGGGTTCTTCCGTTGCAATGTCGTTGTAGATCTGAAACTCCTTGCAGGCCCCGTCTAATTGAGTAAAGAGTAAGAAATTCACAAAAATATGCCGGTTGGAAATTCAAATTTTACACAAAACCTCACAGTAATCCCACATACACACACAGGCATAGAACGCTCTGACTTTTAGTCTCAGGGAATAGTGCAATACTCAAGCCTCAATGCTTCTTCCCGGGGCACCTGTATACTGTTCTTTTGTGCCAACAATGCACGTCAAGGGATCGGGGAAGACGGGGAATGGTGTGCTCTCTCTGTACTTCAATTGCATATCGGAGCTTCGAGCTTCGCGTACATACAGTAAAACCTGTCTAAGACGACCGCACAAGGGACCTTCAAAATGTGGTCTCTGTCACCAGGTGGTCGCCTTATCCAGGGTCAATTGACTGGAAATAGCACCCCTTGGGCCTGGATGCGGTGGTCTTCTAGAACAGGTGGTCGCCTTATCCGAGTGGTCGTCCTGACAGGTTGTACTGTAACAGTGTACAGCAACCCGAAATCGGGGTTTCCTTTGCTCGAGATAGCATTTTCAAAACGCAGTTTTACTGAAATTTCAAAAATCAAATCTTGGTAAAAGAAAACTGCCCACGCGTGATCCATCTGCTCAAACGCGGGAACTCTAGCTTCTTCTTCACCCTTTTTTCAGCGCATTATAGATCTTATTGGGAGGGTACCAGGGTGGGACTGTTATGTCTTCGCTCTCCGCTCCTCATACAATCCTCACTTCACATCACAATGCATCATTGCATGTGAAATGGGCAATTCCGTGCAGGTGTGAGGGTTTGTGTAAAATTTTGCGAAATTCTTATTCTTTAGGCGGGTTCCGTAAGAATCTGTAAGAAGTCGCAGACCTACCAGGGCTTTGTAGATCTACAATGCGTGTGAACAGAATGCACACAAATAATGTATTATCCCAGTTCTGCAAGCTTACAATCATATGCTCAAGCGCAGAGCTCTGCCCTAGTCTCTTTTTCTCTTTCTTTGCTCACCTATTGCTCATTACTTCTTTTACAGATTTGGTATTATGGAAAGTTTGGAAACCCCGTCGATAGGCGAAAGCCTTTGGGGAATCCTTAAACAATAAAAATTACAAAAAAATTACAATAGTAACCAATAAGCGGAGCGGAGACAATACCTTTATTCCCGTAGCTATGCAGAAGACGTTACTTCAGTAACGTCTGGCGCTAGCCAGGGTCCACACAGCTTTAATTTGGTGTTTGTTTGTTTGTTTGTTTGTGTCACGGCTGGAGCTATCCCGTATCTGTCCCGTATCTGTGACTACAAAGGCTCTACAGGATTGTACATAACAGCTGTCCACAATATTTGCGGGCTCCTGTATCTGTCCCGTACCGTACCAATATTCGTCGTATTATGTATACGACTCCCTAATGTAGAGGGAGATTTGGAAAGAAATAGGGAGACAAGGAGGAAATTAAATTAGAATAGACGCCGAATAGGTGATAGGATGCGTCAGCATAAACATACTTTGGAAGAGAGATCCCGTCGTCTCCAAAATAAGCGTGCACGAGCGATTCAGCGCCGGTCACAGGAAACGTCGGAAGAGAGATCCCGTCGACTCCAGAACGCCCGTGATTGGCAGAGTCCGCCGGTCCCAGGCAACGTCAGGACAGACATCCCGTTGAGTCCAGAACGCCCGTGATCCGCAGAGTCTAAGCCGGTCCCAGGAAACGTCAGGACAGACATCCCGTCGAGTCCAGAACGCCCGTGATCGGCAGAGTCAGCGCCGGTCCCAGTAAACGTCAGGACAGACATCCCGTCGACGCGCAGAAAAACTTAATCTGCAGCCTCTTTTGCCGTCGGACAGGATACGTATTCTAGGAGATTGTAAAGTTATGTAATGTCCAAATTTCGACGTGAGCAGCAAGTCACTCGCCTTGATTTTTCGACGTGCGAGCCAAATAACGCGAGCTGAACTTTCGCGTCGCAGACATCCCGTCGACGCGCAGAAAAATTAAATCTGCAGCCTCTTTTGCCGTCGGACAGGATACGTATTTTAGGAGACTGTAAAGTTATGTAATGTGCTCCACAGGCAACCATGCATTCGGCGTCGTCATTGGCTCAACAGGTCAATGTACATGTATTGCTACAAAAAGGCCAGAAAATCCGATTACTGTATTAAAATCAACTAATTTCCGCTGGCGATTTAATTTCGCTGATTTCGCCGCTTGGTACCAACCGGCCAAAGTAAACCGCAGGCCAAAGTTTGTCATATAGGCAAATGATACATGATTGAGCAATGGATGCATGTGAGAGCAAAGATACCGATCGATTTCAAATTTGACGTGAAATTGCGCGTCACGTCGGAAATAACGTTCATCTTAACCTCTATAATAGAGAGGTTTCTATTTCTCATCGGCCAAAATTTGTTGATTTACAGTATAAGGAGATAAAAAGAAAAGAAGGAGCAAACGAAAAGTAGATGATTATTAGAAAAATAACAATCTGCAATAAATTCTGCAAATACTTTTGCCTAACTCATAATATTCAAACCGATTGAAACGTTTTTGCAATACAGTGATGTGGCCAATCAACGGAAAAAGACATTTCCATCAGTTCTTATAACATGTACGATGAGCTAGGCAAAAAAGCATAAAAGCATAGCGTAGGGCCCTGAGCTTCCAAGCTCTCTCGTTATAGCAATCAGCAGATTCAACGAAGCGGACATTGGACATAGTGATCAACAAGAATAAAATATGGATAAAAAAAATTTCTAACAAGTTTTCTACAGACATTTATCAGGAGAGTACGTCTCGCCGTTTCTTTCTTATAAAAGCACGGGTGACCCCGATTGGCCCATATGTTGTAGTCTTTTGGACGCTGAGTCGACTGGTTTTGGTCCGAGAAGGCTGCAATGCAGGGTTCGGCCCTTATATTCCCAATCGAACATGGTTGAATAAGCGGGCATGTGCTCATGCGTACACCAGTCATCCGGTGATCCTGGCTTTTATAGCAACGAAATGGCGCTTTCGTGACTTCCTGAAATAAAGATTATTAGGCGAGACCAAAAAAATAGAGATTCCCGGGCCCTCCCGCAACAAAATCGAGCCAAGTCCAATTTTTTTTGAACAGTTCATGCATGTACAGTACTGATCGTGTGAGTAGATCTGTGACGTGGAGTCACACAAACCCGAGCTTGTACGACTCCCTGATCTACAGATCAGGGCCATTGTTGGCCGAAATATAGAAAAATTGAACGGGTTAACCGCGTACCTAGTACCTACCTGTTGTCTGCAAAACAAATTGAATAAAAATTACCGAAAATGCTGGAAAAAAGTTCAACATGGCATGCACACATATAGTCATGTACATACATGGAAAAAAAAATAAAAAATAAAATTCGCCCGCCCACACCAATTTCACATGGGTCCTGCCCGGGAATCTCGATTTTATTTTGGTCTCGCCTTATTATTATATTTTGCATACAAATCCCCATTTAGTAGGGCCCAGTCAACCGGTTTCGGTAGAAGTGGCGAGTTCGATTGGGAATAAAGAAGGAAGGGAGCGTCTCAGCTTCCTCGGACCAGGACCATTCGACGCAGCACCCCCGAAGACTACGTTACTAGTGAACATTTGATTTTCGGCATTCAGTGACCGTGTGTACATTGGGGTATGCTAAGGCGCCGGTCACACATGCAGGCGGCGACACCGCTTTTGCGGCTGCCTCCAACACGTTGGCAGTGGGCGCTTTTGCGGCTCTTTTCTGCCGGTGGTCACACATGCAAAGGCTTTGGTACGCACGCAGCTTCACGGGTCTCCACAGGTGTCGTAAAACTTTTCTCTGAAAAAGACTGTAGCCTCAAAATTCTTCAGGAAGTTACCTGCTTTGTTGCATTTTGACTGAGTTGGCTGTTTCATTTTTAATTCCTATCACTGTTGTCTTTCCTTTCCTGCGCTGGTATGGATCGCAGAAGCGCCCAGAATCGCCGACTACGTCGTGACCAGCGACTGCGGAGAGCTATGGAGATTGCCTCAATATTCATGTTGTTCAATTTCTCTTCGTTTGAATCTTGCGGTAGCTCCTTGAGCATCGGTGGACGCCTGAGTCGAGTCCCATGTCGGATGGGACTCGACTCAGGTGTCATGGTGTCTTGTCTTGACCTCGAAATAGAGGGAGAGGAGCAGTTGCTCTTGGTCAGCAGTCCACTTCATGACGAGAGATGAAAAACTAATTTTTCCAAGATCCAACAACGACAACGCCGCAAAAGTTGCACTACCGCTTTTGTGTTTCGCCACCAATTTTTTGGTTGTGGCGCTTTTGAGATTGCCGCCGTGGCGCCAGGCGCAGTATCCATGGTGATCCGGGGATATCCCAACTTTTGTGGTGCAGCTTTGGTGGTGTCGCAAAAGCGCCATGCATGTGTGACCGGCGCCTTATGCTATGGCTTGGTGACATTCTGGCCTGGTTGTTCTGCGACGCTCCGCTCTTCGGCGCGCCAACAGTACTGTATAAATTTATCTTGCAGAAGTGAGCACACATAATAATTATCTGTGTTCTTCTACAAATCTCCTGTACTTGCCTCAGCTACCAGCAACAGTTTGCCCATGTCTAGTGGCCAGAGAGCCGCCAGAATGCAGTCATCCGGCCGCAGGTGTTTTCTTCTGCTGTTTACCGTGTGGATATTGTCCCGCAACCCAGCAATGTCGCAAGGTAAGCACCTCCTTGAAACACACAGGGGAAAATTGCGAATGTTCTTCATCTTTTATTGAGTGTCAAGCCGTACGGTCAGACGGGAAGGCAGAAATGCTTGTGTATCTGGTGAAGTAAAATAAGAAAATAAAAAAAATGTTACGAGTTATGACAAACTGTCTACCAACGTCACCAGATCTTATACAGTCAGCGAGTGCGACAAAATGGCACAAAACTGACAAGGAGTACTGAGACATTCGGCGACCTGACACCTAGCTCCAACACTTCTCCAAGGCGCAAACCAACAACCTTCCAACTTGGAAGGCTCAGGCTCGGAAAGGTCCAAGAGGGGAAGGAAAGTGCAATGAAGAAGTGCATGAGCTGCGCGCCACGGCAACAAAGAATGCCGAAAGTTACTGGATGATGACGGAACTAGTAAGACTATTGGACATACCAGCCTTACTACAACTCGACGACGCAAAGCAACAGACCACCCAACTTGGGAGGCTCAAGTTTATGTAATAAACATAGAAAGGGGTTATTCGTTGCGCTTTCCTTCCCCTCTTGGACCTTTCCGAACCTGAGCCTTCCAAGTTGGAAGGTTGTTGGTTTGCGCCTTGGAGAAGTGTTGGAGCTAGGTGTCAGGTTGCCGAATGTCTCAGTACTCCTTGTCAGTTTTGTGCCATTTTGTCACACTCACTGACTGTACAAGATCTGGTTACGTTGGTGGACAGTTTGTCATAACTCGTAACATTTTGTCCTTTCTTCATCATAAAAAAAACAAGCGAACAACAGCGAACCATGTCAGTAGCTCTCATCAATATTGTGTTAACTGTTGCCTATTATGACTCACGGTCATTGTGGTTTTATTAGTGCTGGGCAGCAACGGATAACTTGTAAACCTTTGGTCCTCCTTCCTAGATTATAACCCTTGACTCTCCCACCAAATCCAAATTGTCCATGATTCTTCTGCTTGCCATTACCTCCTTGTTTGAAGATATGTACTATTCTAGTGATCTTAATTGATTCATGTTGTCCATGTGTTGTTCTGTTTGCGTCTGTTGCTTGCCTGCCTGTTCAGGCTCACCTTCTCCCCAGTGCAATGGACCCAGCCTGCAGAGTGTCTATGTGGCTGAGGGCTCACCGGCCGGTACTGTCGTGGCAGTGTTACCAATGCCGCCCATCGATCTTCTCAGCTTCTTCCCGACGATCAGCGACAATGCCACGGGAGCGCCCACCACCGACCTGCTCGTGAATCGCTTTGATGCCAACGCCAAGACGGTCGTGCTGAGCACGGCTGTCCCCGACGCCGAGTCCGCTCGCGATCTCGACACGGAGTTCTCGCTGACAGTGAAATGGTCCGGTCGCACTAGCTCATGTGTCACGCATGTCAATGTGCGGCGGCTGGCCGCGCCGTCCATGAAGAAACAGGACGGGTTTACCCCCTCCGGGGAGGTGAAGATCCTTGACGGCACTAACGGCGATGTTCATCTGTTCACATTCGACTTTCAGGTATCACGTGCAGCTGCGGGCTTGTCCAACGTCACGATCTGCGATAGCGACAATTCAACTGTGACCTCGATCATGCGCATCTTGAGGTGTCCCTACCACCGCTGTTGGTATGTGATGGCGAACTTTGCTGGTCTAGCCGGCGCTTTCACCGACCCCGGCCGCGTTCAGCTGAGTATCTGCGCCGAGGACGACATGGTCCGTACCACCGCTAACCTGGCACCGTCACATTATCATGCCCTCCACAATGGCCAATCCAGGACTCCGATCACTGTAGAGTTTGAAAAAGGTGAGGGCAAGCATGTTCCACAGTGAATTAGGCTGATTCCAAGCCGCGGAGATGGATGCGAGTGAAGTCTCGAGGCAACAAAGGATGCTGACCAGGGGTGTCGGGCACGCCACGGTCTCTACGGTATTAGCCAAGCCACTCTGTGTCCCAGCACCCCGTGAATCAATAAAATGCACTGATGCGGGCTCTAAATTTCGGGAAATTGCTCATTGGAGCCACACCAACCCCACCACGAGTATACTGCACTAAAGTTGGCTGATAGTACCACTCTAAACTACCCCCCCCGGTGACTGCTTCTGTCATTTTTGTTTGGCCTAGGGTCTCCTGTTTGTACTTTTCGAGCGTGAACGTTGATGCAAGTTTTGACAGGTGCTGTTTCTTTGTGCTCATTGTTCGTGTGTTTGTCAGAGTACACACTAGTATTGGAAGCCTGGAATAGGGCGTATGGGTCCAGCATTGCCATTGCCAGCATGCTCTGGTAGCCTGCTCTCGCCCATGGCTTGGTGGTGTCTGGCTAAGTGAAGTTAACCGGTGTAGCTACTTCAAGCAGTCGAGTTTGTTTTGCTTCAATGTCATGCGTGTGTGTGTATGTGTTTGTGTGTGTGTTTGCGTGTGTGTGTGTTTGCGTGTGGGTGGGTGTGTGTTTGTGCGTGTGTGTGTGTGTGTGTGTGTTTGTGTGTGCACATGTGTTTGTGTGTGTGTGTGTGTGTGCGCATGTGTGTGCGTGCGCATGTTCCTGTCTCTTGCAGGCCACTTCTGCCAAACGGGTAATGTCACGTGTCAACCTAATTCACATTGCGTTGGCAAGGGTAACAGTTCCGACTGCCTCTGCAACGCCGGTTTTACACAAGTGGAGGATAAATGCATAGGTAAGGCAGAAAGAGACAGACACACAGACACACAGATAGACAGACATATAGACAGATAGATAAAGAGTTAAATAGAGAGACAGACAGATAGATAGATAGAGATATAGAGACATAGAGACATATAGAGATAAAGAGATAGATAGACCAGACAGACAGACAGGCAGAGAGATAGAGAGATAGTAAGTTTATGAATCACTTAAAAAAATTACCAACCAACATTAGCTCTCGTACATTAGTAGTGACAAGATCATGCTCTATCCGGGGTGCCATGAGATATTTTTTAAATGTTTGGTCGTGAAAACCTGGTCACTTTCCAGACCACCCCCGCTTTACAACAACATGTTTGTCGAGAAGTGTCTAACGCTGTTTTCGTGATTTCCTTCTTTCTCTCCAGTTTGGTTTGGCGGTGCTGAAGAGCTGCCAGGGCATGACAATTGCAAAGCCAATGAGTACTTCACCGTGCCAAGCAATTACACGATAGCCACCGCCTGGGCAGACTACGCGTATGCAGAACGCGCCTGCTCCGACTTTGGCCTAGTACTGCCGTCAGTGAGCGTGGCACCGCGCTGCTTGCACGACTTTGTCTTCGGCCTGCTGCTGCCCGACTCGAGCCAACGGCACGAGATGGTGTGGGTGCAGCGCGCCGACGGCACACTACTGCAGCGCAGCTCGCGTGGACACACGTACGCCGCATCGCGGACCGCCACCGCCAAGCTCGTCTGTTACAGTAAGCGGCGGCGAATTTCCTGTCCCAATTTTCTACTGAATTTCGTTCTGCCGGGCCGTATTTAGAATGGCAGTTGTGTGTTGTGTGCCGTTCTACAGGACCTTTACCGTAAAAATCGTTAAAAAGTGCACGTCCGAAATAGACACCCTTCATCTTTTAATCTGTTGCACCCAAGTTCGGCCAGATGAAAATACTACCCGTACGGGTTTAACCACGAAATTTGAAAATAGGTACGTGCCTATTTACGTATAGATTATAACAAGGGACCGAGTGTGTATAGAGATCTATAGTAGTATAGTTACCATATTGTGGTTAAACCCGTCCTAACTTTTGCGTGGGGCACAAAACAACTTTTGATCTCGACGTGCGCATAGCGGTCGAAATGTTTCTCCAGCGCATGCCATAGCATGCACATATACATGTTCTGCACGCAAAACCATGCCTATACTTGTTTCTAAATAACCGACGAGGAGACAACAGTCGTAAAATAGCAATGAAAAATATCAATTGTGCACTCATAATCATGTATAAACAATTAAAATGAAACAATTCCAGAACGTTTTCGTGTGACCATCATCAGCGGAACATCGTCACATAGTAAGAATCACTAAAACAACCAGTTATATAGCTAGAGTAACATGATAAGAAGCGTGAGAATGCAGCACAGCTAGCGGTTATGCATAACGCGTGTAGTGTGAACCTTTGCAGTGTATCTGAGAATGGTAGCAGTTGCAGGTGTTGGAAGCTGTATATATTCGCACACGTGACCCTGTTCTATGCAAGCAAAAAGAAAATGTTGTAGCACTCACACTTTTTAAATAATACACACTCACCAGTTTTTGTTCACACGCACTCACAGCTGCCACATTCATCTACTGCTACCATTCTCAGATACACTGCAAAGGTTCACACTACACGCGTTATGCATAACCGCTAGCTGTGCTGCATTCTCACGCTTCTTATCATGTTACTCTAGCTATATAACTGGTTGTTTTAGTGATTCTTACTATGTGACGATGTTCCACTGATGATGGTCACACGAAAACGTTCTGGAATTGTTTCATTTTAATTGTTTATACATGATTATGAGTGCACAATTGATATTTTTCATTGCTATTTATACTTGTTTCGGGTAGTATTTTCATCTGGCCGAACTAGAGATCTATAATAATAATAATAATATTAACTGGTTTGAGGTAAAGAGACAAACGGGAAAAGTCTGAAGAAAAAATTGACTGCCACCACCAGGACTCGAACCAGGGACCCTCGCTTGTAGCCAGCGATGCTCTAACCACTGAGCTATGGTGTAGTCGTCATCCCAGCAGAGGCCGTTCAACATTTTCTTCAGACTTCGTAACTCACACTTCCTAATAATAACAATAATAATAATACCACAGCACGCGTACAAAGGCCAAAGAACAATGCATGAGAATACACTGAAATTAAGCCAAGTCTGCTAATTTCAGTATAAAAACCGAGGCGAAGCCGATGTTTTGATAACTGGTGTATGTATCCCGATATACACTCGGCCCCTTTGTTATAATATATTTATACACGTACCTCTCCATCTTCACCGTGTGTGGCCTCCTAATGGCTTGTTCCTCGCCGACAACTACTGCTAATTCCCCTTAGTGGTGTATATGGAGATATATAAACCACTAAGGGAGGGCATGCCCAAGACTGTGGGTGTATATGGAGTGAGGTATAAGTGGTTTTACGATGGCAGTCATGCACTATGTGTTGCTTTACGGGACCACATGCAGCATGACTGTGATGTCCCTCTCATCGTATATGCACTTGAGTGCGGCACACCTGCTGAAGCGTCACAGCAGGAGCGGAAAGCACCATGGTCCAGGACGTGGCTGGTCCACCTCTCAGGGGGTGCACGATCAGCTGATGACAATATTCTTCTTCCCGCAGTCTTTGTACATACCGTTTGCAAGTGGAACTACATTACAGCTATACCGTATGTCAGCGCTTTCAAAGCCATGGCCTTATGTTCGAAACACTGCTGCTTTCCTAACTTTTTTAGATGCAAAAATGACTCACCCACTACGCCAAGCCATAAAAGTCAAAGCCTACACATAAATTTCACTCTAAATCCCCTTGTTCACCCTTCCTGCTGGGCTTTAAGTTTGTTAGTAGAGTACTTATTTCTTCATTTTTACAAAACACACTTCAGATGTCATTTCATTTATGAAGCCCATGGCTTTATAGCTGAGACCGGCTTTATAATGGAATATACCTCCATGGCTTTAAAGGTGCAGACAAACATGCACTGTAGGTCCTGCTACATCCCAAAATGCATTCATAAGTGTAGTTACTTGAGTATGTGATCGATCACCGCTCGGTAGGGGTGAAACGATTAGTTCGAATATTCGAGTATTCGTTCGAAAATTTCAAACGAGCGAGTATTCGAAATTTTGCACTCGATCGTTTTTTTTTTTTTTTTTTTTTTTTTTTTTAGTATTGGCATTGTATTTTTCAAAACCTTTTTGTTGTACCACTGGTCCACTGGTATGCATGCATTATGCATGGTTTGAGTCAGTATTTTAAGACTTCGACGATGCGATCACCACGGCAAGTAACGTTCTGAGATATGAAAGTACTGATGAAAATCGTTACTTTACACTCTGTACAAGACATTGGCGCCTTTTGTTCTATGTTCACAGATAATTTCTTTCGAATTGGTCGAGAACTCGCAAATCTAGTGCTTTTGAATTTTGATAAAATACTCGAAATAATCGGATACTCGATCGAATATTATGAACGAGTGATCGATTGGTCAAAATAGATACTCGTTTCACCCCTACCGCTCGGTCAAACTTGATCCGAGAGGGCTCCGAGTTGTTCGAACCGACCACCGAGTGCCTCTGCTATCAACTAGATCTTTCAATGCTGAATTTATCAGTGCAATAAAGAATAGAATTGATGCAGACATGGCCAGACAACATCGAGTTTAAAGAATTATATTATTGTTGAACGAATTTGCCAAAATCGATTTTCGAGTTTCCATTTCGTCAGTTGATAGTAGGGAGGCTTCGCTCTACACAGTTACGTATGAAAATAACGTAGGAACTGCACGGAATCCTCATACGTAAAAATCAGCGCTGTTGGGTTTCGCTCTACGTGATTTCTCCACAACTGCTAAACATGCGTTGTTGCTTTGGAGACGCGTTGGCTGCATGCGCCCACCGCATGCACCATGACCCGAAACGGCGTTTCCATTATATTTTCCATGTGGTGTACGGTGTGTGTACCTTGTGTTTCGCGCGGCTTGAACGTTGCCATGGACAAATGCGGAAATGCGAAAAAGTATTTCAAATAGTCCTACGGAGGACCCAACGTAGGAAACAGCTTTCCTACGGAAGTCCGTAGAGAGATTTAAGTATGAAAGTTGCCCTCGCTCCCCGGCGCGTTCGACATGCGGATTTTCATACGTAATTACGCAGAGTGAAACCTCCCTAGTATCGGAACTGGGGCGCAAGTCTGGAGTAGAAATATGCCCCTCTCGGGTTCGAGCCACCCTTGTGCAGAACTTTTTCTTCTTCTTTTTCTGGACTGGTTTTGACAAGAATAGCTTGTAAGATTGCCTGGCAAAGTATGTTCTGGTGGCCACAGCATCATGAAACTTGGTAGGTACTTTCCAATCAACTTGAAGACCATCCTTGACTAATGTCAAGTGAATCCATTTAGCAGTTTCAATTTTTTTGATGGCAGTAATAATTATGTGAATTGACCTCAAAATTCACAAATTGATAGCACTGGACAAAGTATGTTCCGGATTGCTGCAGAAGGTCATAACAGACTCTTTCCATTCCTATTATTTTTAAAGCTATCCCTCAGCTGGTCGCAGTGTCCTACAGGATAACTAGGCATTGCATGCATCTAGTACGATACTACTCAAATGTTTAATGTTCTTTTTATGAATGAACGCGTTGTTGTGAAGTCTTTTTTCATTGCGACACCTCAAATTCCACTGTACATTAGAAGAATCAATTTGGCAAGCTTTGATAAAAAACATGTCGGGCCATTTTTCATTTATGGTCGACTTTACTTCATAAAAGAGCCAATTTGCGCATTGGGGCCATCTCTGAGTTCATGTTCTGTTGTTGATATTGATGGAAATCCTGCAAAACCTCCCACAGGACACTTCTGTAGTAGACGGACTTTCTACCGTATCATACCGTATGTACCGTATATCGATAGACTTACCATATCATGTATATAGTACCGTACTGTACGTTATTTTGTGTACGCCGTGTGTACGTTATGTTGGTGCATGCCCGTGTTGCTGTGGTATAAAAAGCAGTCTTCGTCTTGAGTTCGTCATGTCTAGTTGTGTTTCCGTAGTCGTCTTGAAATAAACAGTCTTTCAAATGTAGTTATCGTCGTCCCTTTGCAACCGGTTACGGTCCAATGATGAGTTGGGGGGTCCAGGGGTCCCCCCGGAAATTTTTTTCAAAATACAACCCAAATATGGCACTCGACAGCAATTTAACAGATTTCTTGGTGCTGGAGTGTAGCAAAGATATAAGCAGCTCCATTCACCCACAGAAAGGTACGGGCGGTTGGAACTGATTTGTAACTTTTCAACCGGTCGCCAACAATTTCAACCGGTCGAAAACCGGTTGCGGCGGTTCTAGAAAATTCCCTGCTTTGTATAAGTGTGGAGATTGCACGGGACTGGGAGCAGGTGGAGAAAAGGTAGTTACGACATTAGTGGCAGCGGTGATGGAAATTTGTTGTAAACGTCAACTTCTGGATTCGTCCTGCGTGGCCTTCGCTCCCAGTTTCCGATGTCATCTCCAGTCGTCCTACCGTCAAAGCTCCAAGAAGTTCGTACGTCGTCCTCATCCTTCATCATTCGTCTCTCCCGTCTCTTGTCAGTCGTCGAAACTGGTGGTCCCGGACACGACGTAAAACTGTGCCCAGAAGAAAAGCTGAAAAAGAAGGATGGAAGGTGAAGACAAGAGGCTGCAGTGTGAGGATGTCGACGCTGAGCAGCGCTCCTTGAGATGGCGGACGACATGGCAGACGGCGTGAGGAGTTTCGTTGGAGAGAGGGTACGTGTGTTGTGAACGTGATGAGTATGTGAGTTTTGTATTTGCTGTTCTCCTCAATTTTTTTCGTTTATTTATCAGTTGCTCTCCTCGAGGACGAGGGTCATTTTTCTTTTTGCTCTTGATCCGAGATGATGAGTACTAAAGCCGCTTCCACAGATCGCAGCTCGTGGGTTTTACTTTATTAGTCTCTTCTTATTATTTTGTCCTCTCACATTTTAGAATTTTTTGCGTGATTGGTGAGGTGGCGCGAGTGTGATGGTTATAATCAAGGTTTTTGTATGCATTTCCCACGATTGTGTTCCAGCGCGTGAGCTGAAGGTCTGGTTGGTGGGCAGACAGGTTTTTTTGTGTTTTATCAGGTCCTGCGTGAATGGAAGATGGTCTCTGGCTGCTGTGTTGTGCTGCGATACGTTTTTGGGTGATTGGTGTGGTATGCTCCCGTGGCTAGTGTGATCTTTTTTTTCTTCTGTTCTTATTTTTTGAATCAGGAACAATTCAGCCTTTTGAGGAGGCGGCAGTGTACGAGTTGTTTATTTTGGTGTGTGTGAGTGTGTGCCATACATTTATGCAGTTGGTGCACGCATGTTCGTGTATACATGTAGTAGTGAGTCAGTCTTGGTCTTCAGCTTTTTGATGTGCTGCATAGATTGCTACATAGCTTTTGTTTCATTATAATTATTTTGCTGCTTGAGCCTAGTTTAGGTTTACATTAATTTTTGTATTCTGTTCTTGTTTGTTTCCCGAGGACGGAAAATTATTTGAGGGGGTGCAGTGTAGTAGACGGATTTTCTACCGTATCATACCGTATGTACCGTATATCGATAGACTTACCATATCATATATAGTACCGTACTGTACGTTATTTTGTGTACGTCGTGTGTACGTTATGTTGGTGCATGCACGTGTTGCTGTGGTGTAAAAAGCAGTCTTCGTCTTGTTCGTCATGTCAAGTTGTGTTTCCGTAGTCGTCTTGAAATGAACAGTCTTTCAAATGTAGTTATCGTCGTCCCTTTGTATAAGTGTGGAGATTGCACGGGACTGGGAGCGGGTGGAGAAAAGGCAGTAACAACAACTTCCTTATGTCACCCCATGCAATGTACGCATTCAATGCTTCTTATCAAAAGACTGACCAGACAGCTTCATAATAAAGTGTTACTATCCAAATGCGTAAAGTTCGTAAAAATGGCGTTTTTGAAAGTCCCATAATTCCCCAATATTGACGGTAAGTGGCCAATTTTGTTTTGGTATTTCATCTATACACACCCTACAGAACACACTGACGTCTTTGGATGAAGAAAATTCCTGGCCAATCAGACATAATAATAATATCCATATAAAAATCGCTCTGTGAGCGGTTCTAGACATAATAATAATAATAATAATCTTCACTAGTTTGAGGGAAAGAGACAAACGGGAAATAATAATAATAATAATTTGGAAAGGATTGGGAGAACTTCATATTCAAAGGATCAGTCGGGGAAGTGAACTGCCTGAAAAGAGAAAAAAACGCCAGACCCACCAGGACTCGAACCTGGGACCCTGCTTGTCATGAGCAATGCTCTAACCACTGAGCTATGGGACCAGGCTGAACCTAGAAGGCGCTGACAAGTTTTTCACTCCAAAGGCAGCTCACAACACGTGCCACACATACTGATGGCACTTGGGTCTTTTTCCCTCCCCCAGGGGACCAACCACGGTCAGTTTCTGGAAACTACCAGAGGTGAAAGAAAGTGATTAAATTTGGAAAGGATTGGGAGAACTTCATATTCAAAGGATCAGTCGGGGAAGTGAACTGCCTGAAAAGAGAACTTGAAAACGCCAGACCCACCAGGACTCGAACCTGGGACCCTGCTTGTCATGAGCAATGCTCTAACCACTGAGCTATGGGACCAGGCTGAACCTAGAAGGCGCTGACAAGTTTTTCACTCCAAAGGCAGCTCACAACACGTGCCACACATACTGATGGCACTTGGGTCTTTTTCCCTCCCCCAGGGGACCAACCACGGTCAGTTTCTGGAAACTACCAGAGGTGAAAGAAAGTGATTAAATTTGGAAAGGAAACTGACCGTGGTTGGTCCCCTGGGGGAGGGAAAAAGACCCAAGTGCCATCAGTATGTGTGGAACGTGTTGTGAGCTGCCTTTGGAGTGAAAAACTTGTCAGCGCCTTCTAGGTTCAGCCTGGTCCCATAGCTCAGTGGTTAGAGCATTGCTCATGACAAGCAGGGTCCCAGGTTCGAGTCCTGGTGGGTCTGGCGTTTTCAAGTTCTCTTTTCAGGCAGTTCACTTCCCCGACTGATCCTTTGAATATGAAGTTCTCCCAATCCTTTCCAAATAATAATAATAATAATAATAATACCACAGCACGCGTACAAAGGCCAAAGAACAATGCATGAGAATACACTGAAATTAAGCCAAGTCCGCTTCTGTCTCCAGTCAACAAAAAACTCATCCATAAACAAGGTCTGATCTCCATTTCTACTTGTCTGCAGCAAATGCTCGTGCTCCTTCTAGGTCGCTGGCATTCATCAAAGGAATGTCGTGCCCTGCCAGGTCCTTCATGATGGTGGTAGGGAGAGCAGCCGCGGTACGGCCCCTTCATCCACGTGACCCCGCTTGAAAATAGCAGGACATCGCAAGGCAAGGGGTGACTGCTCACTCATCCTCAGCACATGGCCATTGAGGCTACGGCGTCACTTGGCAACAAGCTCCGACAGTGGCTGCGAGTCACATCTGGAATACAGATCATCATTCGTAATTCTGTCTGGATATCGCACTCCCACCAGGTTTCTGAGCTGTCGGCGGTGAAAACAGTTCAGTCGCTGAAAGACTGCCTGGGTTACTCCCCAAGTCTCACAGTTGTAAAGGAGGACAGGCAGCACAAGCGAGCTGTACAGCTTGAGCCTGGACATAGTGACATAGTGTTAAAAAATATACTAACTGAGTGCAAACACAGAGCATTGGGTGATACAGTGCATGTTGTTCGGACCCAACATTGGCGCCCAACTTTACTCGACGCGGAGTACTGCCTCCGCAGCTCACAACCATGAGATATGATTTACGTGTAGTGTTGCTCCCGTCACTGCTGGACTGTCCTTGTTTATTCGTCACCCCTGTCCGTGTTCGTCGTGGAGCTGTGTCGTCGTGCTGTGTCGGCGCGCGGTGTCGTCGCGCAATGTCGTCCTAATTCATACTCAACATTGGCGGCCGACCATTGCTCGGAACCCACGACCCTCGTCCTCTACCGCCCGGCATTTGTCTCGTCGTCAGTCTCGTCTCTGTCGACCTCGTCTTGTCTATGTCTACCTCGTCTCGTCCAAGTCATGCAGGTCAGCTATTTTTCATTATTTCTCTCTCTCTCTCTCTTTTTCGTGCGTCCTACTTCGTCAAATTTATTTTCGGTTTATTTATTTCGTGATTTTTTGTAGTGTGTTTGTGTGCGCGTGTGTTTCCAGCCATCAATATTAGGGGTCCGTTGGTGAGCCACGCTCTATCATTCTGGTTGCAAAAAAAGTGCATAACTAAGCTGTTTAGCCATGCGATTCAGCGAAGCAATACAAACTGTAGTGCATCTAACATGTAGTATAGCACTTTTGTGAGATCCGTGCGTTTTGTGTGTGTGTGTTTTTCTCATCGTCTTAATATTTCCGGCGAGGTCGCGGTTCTTTTTTTTGCTCAGGGGAGGTATGTTAGGTACCTCCTCCCGTACAATCTTACCTACAACCGGTTAACCTTTCCTAAGCTGGCCGGCCTTCATGCACCCGTACTACGTCATACTCACCTTTCGTTCCGTTGGCCTGGGTAGCTACTTGCGCGCCCATGTTTGCCATAGCTACCCAGGCCCTTTATATTGCGTTGTTTTCTCAGTCGAGCTCTCTCTCTCTCTCTTCAATAATCTCGCTCTCTTCCATAATCTCTCACTCTTCAATGTAGTCGTTCCGTTCGTCTTGGTCTCTTGTCTCGTCATCTATAATAAATGTCGTTCCCAATAACTTGTTCCCGTTGTCCGTTGTAATGTCTGGAGAAGATGTCGTCAGTTGTCCTAATTCATACTCAACAATAGCACTAAGTTCACATCTGATAACCAGCTACGAGAACAACTTTAATGAGACTACATGCTTCTTTCGTTTACAAAGAACAGGATTATGCAAACTAATACAGACAGCTTCCAGAGCCTTCAACTGCGTCGCAAGGGGACGGTTGAAATCAACCTGGGGCAAAATTTCAACCTGGGTGAAGCGCAATGTGTCATGTAAATGCGCCAGTCTGTGTTCATGGCGGGTTGAAACTTCACCCAAGTCGACCTAAACCCGGGTTGAAATGCCTCACGTAAACACAGCCTATCTCTCTCTCTCTCTCTCTCTCTCTCTCTCTCTCTCTCTCTCTCTCTCTCTCTCTCTCTCTCTCTCTCTCTCTATCTATCTATCTATCTATTTCTGTCACTCTCTCCCCTTGTCTCCTTGTCTCATTATGTTCTGTTTTGTGTGCTCCACCAGCTGACCAACACACGGGCACAGTTTTGTCGAAGGTTTGCAACGGGAAACAGTTTTTCATAGCAGCAGACGGTACTAAGCCAATGAGCTCTGTTTATCTCAAGTCCCAGCAGCAACATGATCTGAGATGCCCTGCAGATTCCGTAACACGCACTGATCTTAACGCAGACACGTGCGTCTTGGAGTTTGCAAGGAAAGCCAACCTACTGTTCGGTATCCAGTATCCGTCCTTGGCAACCCAATTTGCTGGTCATTCATACAGCCTGGTACCAGGGAACGTGGGCAAAGTGACTTCTTATTTTTATGTGGCCACGGTGATGATGTGCAAAGGTGAGACACATTGTATGGCTTTAAAACCCCCCTGAGCGCAGGTCTGTTTGCCAGTGCGCCACGTATATAAAAAGACAATGGCCACTTGCGAAAGTTTTCAAGCCTTGACTTTGTCAGGTAGTGACATCTTTGTGAGCCACAATTACAGGCAGTGGTCCAGCCGAGTGCACAAAGTCCAACCACATTGGTATTAAATGCTGCTGAGCTAAAAATGGCCAGAGACAAACCACACAAGGTAATAATTATAAATCATTATTACGTCTCGCGCTAAACCTGCTTGTGGAAGGAGGCTAACGGTATTTTTGTTTTAAGGGTTGCTTCTGGCCAGCCTCAGTTCGATGAGCAATGCCATGCTCCAAACTAAACATTTTTTTCTAGATCAAGTGGTCCATAACTCGCTCAGTCTGATCTGTGCGCATGACGTGATCTAGTCGCTACAGTAGCCTACTGCTAGACCTAGTGGCTACAGTTATGAGTAGCCTGCTGCTAGATCTAGTCGCTACAGTGGCCTGCTGCTAGATCTAGTCGCTACAGTAGCCTGCTGCTAGATCTAGTCGCTACTGCTGGTTTAATGTGCTTCCAGTATTGCCATTGTTTCGTGCCATGTTGTGGATCGCTTACCGTATTCACCCACATACATACATACATACAAGTATGGACTCGGATGAAGAGCCCAGGATAAATTTATAGTAAAGAAAAAAAGGACTAACGAGAGAGCTTGGAAGCTCAGGGCCCTACGCTATGCTTTTTTGCCTTGATGACCTAGACAAAAAAAAAGCATAGGGATGTTATAAATTCTTTAAAAAAATCCTTTTTTTTAAGACATAACCTGGGATTCGAACTCGCACTATCGCGCGCCCTGCATGCATCCCCCGATACACTTCGCATACATACTAATTCTTCCAAGTTGTTTCACATTGTGATCTTGCATTTGAAAGCCCTATTTGAATATGCATTGTGGCCAGCCGTCTTTGATGGCACGGTACGGTAGGGGATAGGTACGGGACAGGTACGATCGAGGGTAATACGACACCGTCTCCCGTACCGTACCGTACCATCAAACACAGCTGGCCACATACAGCTGCCCTCATTATTCAAATAGGGCTTTCAAACGCAAGATAATAACGTGAAGCAACTTGGAAGAATGGGTATGAATGCGAAGTGTATGGGGGGATGCATGTAGGGCGATAGTGCGGGTTCGAATCCCAGGATATGCTTGAAAAAAAAATAGGAGAATTGAAAAATTTATAACATCCTATGCTTTTTTGCCGTCAGATACGGATATCGCCAGGCGTGACACAAACACACAAATACCAAATTAAAGCTGTGTGGACTAGTGCTGACCCGAATTTGCCAGCTGAATCTCGATATTTTGCGGCATAATTTTGCTCGTGCATCGTCGAAATTTTGCTTTC